ATGTGAGCTCAAGCAAAATACTTAAAAAATATGCAACCACAGACATAAAAACAATACAACTGGAAAGTTGTATACTAAGGCAAAATTTTATTTATTAATTGCAAGAGAAAATTAGATATATATATAATAAAATAGCAAACGTGTGGATGTTGCTGAAGGGTTATCAAAACCCCTAGTTTGTTAATATCTATAGTATTGATTAATTTCAGACAAAGGAATAGCACTGATGTAATGTCGCTACGATCACATCCATTTATTTTGTCATCATCTAGGGTTTGATAAAGTTAAGTTGAACTGGAGTGGAAACATTAAGCGACAGTGAAATCAAAAATAACAATGACTGATTTTCTGTTTGAGCAATTCGATATGAAAAATGTAAATAAACGTTAATCGTATTGGAGTCAGAGACGTATTTAGCATTTTCTACGTTATAGAGTGTTCAACACATCTTATCAAAACTATTTCAAAATTTTTATTGAAATAATGTAAGTTCCTATAAAACGTTTTTTAAAAAAAGAACGTATACAATTAAAAACTTACAATATCAACTGGTAAATAAACTCATTCATTCATGATACTGCTTAGTATGAAAAATGAAAACAAATTTAAACTGATATGCAAATAATTTAAGAATATCTGAATAAACGAAAAAAATAAAATATCGACTTAGTAGCCTAAATAGTAAAATGAATTTAACAGACTATTACTTCTCCTTGTTAACCAAACTCTGGGAAAATATCATCCCTGAAGGCTGCTAATTTTTGCAAGAGCATCGACACGTGTAATTTCAATGTTGATCTTTGAAAGGCCCCTCCCCTCCCTAACTTCGCTGTGTCTCTAAAATTTATTTATTCCCGATTACGAAAACTATATTAATTCGGGTATCAGACTTACTGCTCAAGAAATACTCGTGTTTAACCCATTAGCCGCTGATGTTGTGTTGACGCAAAGATAAAATAAATGCGTATATAAATATAACTACCTAAGATATTTTATAACAGCAGATGATTTTGTGTAGGGAATATTATGATTATTTATGTAAAAAATATTTGTCTTCAACAATCATTTTGTTTATAATATCTAACCTCATACTTTAAGCAAAATTTAAGCAAAATTTTCGACCGGGTATTTTTGCTGAAAATATTTAAGGAAAGAATCGCCGTCTTTATGAATGATCTATTTTTAGTCAAGGTCACCGTTTATCAGAACATTACATCAGTCAGATGTTTATATTTGTGTTGGGAAGGGAGAGAAAACAGGTGTTGCGTTGACGCAACGTCAGCAGGAAACGGGTAGTCAATCTCCTGTTTCTCTCCTTCCTTTCGATGTTCTGGTTCATGTTCTGATTGTTTAAAAATGTCTAGAACGAGGTATCTTACATTAAAAGAAGCACTTCAAAGATTTTTTGATGAAGAAACAGATGATGATAATGTTAATAATGACCAGAATGAAACTGACATTGTTATTGTTCCCCCAGAAATTGCAGAGGCTAGTGACGAAGAAGAAAGGAATGGCAATGTTTTAAATAACGGTAATGATATTTTACCAAATGATACTGCTGGGGAAGTTGAAATTCACGTAAGAAGTAAGTTTCAGCCTTCTAAAAGCAGTTATAGTCATACTAAAATGTTTAAAAAGCAGAAGACTGAAATCTTGATGTGGATAAAAAAAGAACTGTTATTTATGTCTCAGAAAGAACACGAAGAAAGAGATAAAAGAGAAATTATAAAAGACAAAACACAAGGTAAAACTAGTGCTCAGATTTTCGATTTTCTTTTTGGTTTTTAGACATTTCTTCTCGTTGAAGAGACAAATATATACGCTCAACAACAACAACAACAACAAAAAAAAAAAAAAAAAAAAAAAAAAAAAAAACAGAATTTATTGCAAAGCCTATATATATATATATATATATATATATATAGCCTTGGAATATTATTGCTTACAGGATATCATTATTTACCTCAAGAAAAATGAATTGGTCTTTTGATAAGGACATTTCTGTTCCTGTTGTACGAGACTTGATATCACGTTTGCAGTACAGGAATATGAAGCAGAATTTGCATTTCACAATAGTCAAATTGACAATACTGATAAATTATATGAGGTGAGACCGTATCTAAACTTACTAAATATCACCACTTTTCACTGCTGGAAATATAAAGTCTCTTTTAGATTTCAGACACGAGAATGCATTATTCCTTTTGCAAACTCCTATTGAGAGTGTAGAATTGGCCAGAAATAGATCAGCAAGGAAGACCTAGCAAATTCAGGATTCCTAAATCATTGCATGGAGATGGTAGATATTTTATCGTAAAGTCCGTTGATAACAAAAGACTTTGTTGTAAAGAGTACCATAGCCGGACTGTTTATAGATGCAAAGTACGTAATGTAGCTTTACATCATGATTGTAATCAAGCTTTTCATGCTTGAATCTTTCAAATGAAATAATCTATATTTGTAAAAGAAATACAATGTATATTTTAATATTAAATTAATTACAAGTAAAGTGATTTGTAGATTTATAAAAATTTATACAGCTAAAAAGTAATCCTGCGCTCCACTCAAAAGAAACATCACACGAGTACAATCCTACTCACTAAACATACTACTCACTAAACTAGTCTTATTCCGTTGACGTCGCGCGAACGTAACACTCGCTTTTTCCACAGGTAAGAGCATTTTTTTTATTTTCAATGTAAATTTATATTATAAATGCTTAATTTAATATTTGTTATTATTTTCATGAGAAAAGAACAATTCCTTGTAGTTTTAACTGAAAAATGTTCCTTTCTCCAGAAACACTTTCATGCCAAAGAGATTTTCATGTATTTCCGAAATGACTCAGCTTATTGGAAAAGATTTTGCAAGGCGTTTGACACTAGGAACAATTTAAATGATTAAATGTATTCTTGCAGTGTTTACAAATTCTGTCTTTACAGATTGGACGTATTACATACAACAATTGCTAATAGCAGTTAATAAAGGATTTTACCATTTCAAATATGAAAGCCAGAAGATTCTCAACCCCTCCTATAGCCTACTCACCTCCTCCGTGATTACACTTATTTTGGTGTCACCTATTCCTCTTTTTTCAATTAGAATTTTATGATTGAATTCTCTGCAATAGTTTTTTGGGGGGGGGTTATTTTTTCGCATTTTATACTTATCAGCCCAAAAGGGACGTTTGTCCCGAATAGGATATTTGTCTCGAAACGACACTTTGCATCGAAACACTTAAGTGCGCTGTATGACTTTTTAGGTTGTTCCCACCAAATATTATCGCACTGCATTATACTTAAAGAAAATAAATAATGAAGAATCTGCATTAAATGTATGTATGCTTCTTGCATTGTGGTGAAATAGCGACACCTAACAGACATTAAATTTTGAACATTGTATTCGTGCACCCGAATATTGAATAACAAATTGTTGAATGAATTTGATTGTAAAACTTTAAGGAATTTTTGAATAACAAATTGTACGATTTCAAAGCGAGCAGGGTCAACACTGTATGTAACCAAACATTTTTATTTCCAGAGCGCGAGACTGCCTATCGGAAATTCTAGAGTTGTGCTGTTTTTGAATATTTTTTTTTTGTTTGTTATCATATACATATTTTTTTTTCTAATTGAAATTAAAAAGCAGTCAAAATGACTTCTTTGGACAATCTAGTGTTAAAGAAATTAAACAAGGAAGAATCTGCATTCATGTATGTACGTTTCTTCAATGTGAAGAAACAACGGCAAATATAGACTTTAAGTTTTGAACATCGTAGTGGCGCTCCCAAACGTAGCCATCTGGAGGGCCGAATTTGGAATTTGTTTTATTGTCTATTTAATATTTCGTAAAACTTGAACGAACTTTAACTTTTTTTGTGGTTTAAAAATTCGCCGATTTCAAATCGAGCAATGTCAACACTGTACGGAATAAATTATTTTTATCTCCAGCCTGCGAAACTGCCTATCGGAAATTCTAAAGATATACCGTTTTTAAATATTTTCTGATTTTGTTGTTGAATCGAATTTTAAGTGGCTTAAAAGCCAACCGGTGTCGTCGTGCAAACTTGGTCGTGCAATAAAAATCACAAATACTTTTTTCCGTTTCTAAATGGCATTTTCGTTCACTGGCATTTCATAAATGGCATTTCTAAATGGCATTTTCGTTGACTGTAGTTTATCAATATTAGGATTTATCTCTGATAGCTTTTTGAGATCTGTGGTAACCCTTTACTAACCTTTAAACAAATGCATGCAGCTTATACAGATTGAATTATATTCAATACTTATGAAATTAATTCTTAAAATAACTTCATGATAAACATATGACATGGAAAGAAGTTTCGATTCGATGATGCGATGGATTTTTAAAATTATATTTGTATTTTAAAATTATATTTATAATTATTTTTCATAATTTTTATGAAAAAAATCATAACTAATTTGTTACTTACTAGTTTCTTCTAACACTCTTGCGGTTTATATACTTTTAAAGTTTAAAGTTTTTTGCAAATCGTACATTTCCCATTTCCGACGATTTTTCACTGCCTGTCCAGACTGTTCAACGTCTTATGCCCTACTGGGATTATTAGTCATAGAGCCGGCAACGTCGCGTGTTCTACAGCGACAGCCCGGCATAAGAGTATTAAAAAAAATCGTTCACTTTCAGGTGCGATGGCAAAGTATATTCCTGTTTATTTTTCTTATTGCCTAATATAGGTAAGCCTGATGATATTTAGTACTGATGAGGATTCTATGTAAGTTATTCTTTTGAATACTTCAATTTTAATGTCCTTGAACATTATTACTTTTTGTTATGCTTAAGTTAAGCAAAAATAAGAATAAAGAAAAAATAAGAATAATAAAAAATAATCCAATTAAAGCGGCTTTCCTTCCGTCGACTTCGCCTAGCCGTTGCGTAATCCTCTGTCCGAAGCAGCCGTCTCCTACATACTCCCCCTCTTCGAGTCGACTTCAGTTTGGCTCAAAGACATGCAGTACCTGGTCGAAGAAATCTAATTTCTGAGGCATCTTGATCATACGTCCAAATCTTGAAACTTTAGCACCTTGCAGGACTTTACTAGAGTCATTTGAATCTGAAAGCTCATCACTAGAAATAGAAGAAATAAGATTAGTACAGGAAATAGCGTGTATGGTATCAGTAGGGTGTGTCCGTTAACTGCACTTCCAATGGAAAGACTCGCTGAATAGGACGAAGCAGCATACCAGCTTGAGTCTTTAATTCTACAGTTCGTATCTTACCATCTTTCCCTGGTATCAGTAGAATGCCCTTATCTAAAAGCTAGTGCATCCATTTTTTGATGTAATCTCCAATTAGGACAATTTCTCCCAGCCGTAGCTATGACGATGGACCCGTCTTATTTTGGACCAGAAAGCCTAAATATTCTTTCCTAGATCTATGCCTTAAATCACTAAGTAGTTTTTAGCGATGTCTAGCCTTTTTTCGAAGATCTTTTGAATGGCATAATTCAACATCGGGAACACGTAAGCTACGATTCTCTATGAGAAACATGGCTGGGAAAAGTAGAAGTCAGTCATTCGAATTTTCGGACAGATAGGTAATAGGTCTAGAGTTAATTATTGACTCACAGTCGCACAATACTGTGAACAGCTCCTCAGTACGAACCGCGTTACCAAGTGTCCTTCTCAAGAGTTCCTTTACTACACAAACTAACCTCTCCCACGACCCGCTCCACCAAGTGGCTGTGCGGGGATTAAATTTCTATATTATATATATTAAATTTCTATATTACTATAGCCGTTTGCCTCAAAATGTTTTCCCAATCGATGTGACTAAGTTCTCTTTGCACTCCTCGAAAATTGGTCCCGTTGTCTGGAATAAATTATTCTCGGCTACCCCCTTCTACTACCAATCGTCTCAATGACAACAAGACTGCGTCCGTAGACAACGAGGAAGTCAATTCCAAATGAACGGCTCTATATATTGCACATGTGAACAAAGCAATCCCCTGCCTTCACATACAACGGTCCTGCCAAATCAACATCTACCATCTCGAACACCGCTGCGTCATTGACACGATCGCCTGGTAGAGACACCGGCTTGCAACCGGGAGACTTGGTCTTGTATCGATTGCATCTTACACAATTTGTTACGACTTTTCTGACAGCTCTTCTGCCCCTCACTATCCAAAATCGCTCTCTAATATTCCTAGTAATATTTGGTGGCCCAGCGTGACCATTTTGTAAATGATAATATTCGAACAGACGCTGGGTGAAAATGCACCGGTCTGGTAAAATAATTGGACAAATAAATTCAGGGTTGTCTAATCGCTCTGTAATCCGCGTTTTCACCATTTTTATGCATTCTCTGTCTGATATGACACTCATATTAAAAATACAGTCGGAAGAGGAAAATATTTAATTTGTACAATTTTTAAAAGACTGTTTTCGGCATATTCCATCTCCCGAACGGTTAAATCTCCAGTCTCTCGAAATGCACATTTATTTTTTTGCGTATTTCAAATACCTCAATATTCATGAGAATTCATGAAAATTCAAAAACCTAATGGCATACTTAATGATTGAAAAGGTATTTCCTTTTCAACAGAATTAAAGTTACATAACCCGATCTTCGTTTTTTTTTTTTTTTTTTTTTTTTTTTTTCGTTCTACGTCAAAGGTCTCTACATCAAACGATCTAGTGGCCAGTTGTTAGTACGTTCCAGGAGCCAGGACTGACCCTCCCACCACAGAGAATCAGAAAATAAATTAGAAGAACTGCCTCTTGAAAACATATCTGCCGGGTTTAAATCACCTGGTACATGACTCCAACACTGAGAAGGTGGGGTATTTAATTATGGCAAAGCACACTAGGGCTATCTGCCTAAGGGGAGGAATGCCTTCGTCGAGGACTTTCTAAGGGAAACTGGCTCGTATACACGTTACACATGGGGAAACCCCCAAAAAACACTCATGCAGCCAGCCCGTTCGCGGGATTCGAACCTGGGACCGAACTACCAGTGTTCAGCGACTTTACCGCTTGGCCGCTGGTGGGCCCACTGAGAAGGAATCCGTCTGTTTGTTTCTTTTACTCTATTCGCAACTAAAACTGACCAGTTCTTAATACACCATTACCTACCATAGTGTCACTCCAAGCAATAATTTTCAAATCGGGAAAATCTAAAGCGGCGTATACTCAGTGAACCAATCTCGCACTAGTGCAACAGGTCATCAATTCTAACCGGGGTATTGTCAGAGATTTTAACGGCGCTTCTCTGGATTTGCCTCTGATCAACAGAATTTTGACTGCCACGGGCGTTACAGTTCTAATGTAGACACATGCACTATGAGAACTCTTACATCCGTCAACGAATAGATGCAACTCTGAATTCTCATTTATCTCTACATATCGTGGAATACTAATTTCCCAAGATATTTATTTTAAGCTCTGAATGTTTTGCAAGGGCGTAGCACTCATTCGTAGCAGCGAACAGCACGCTTTGCACCAAATCTTTTTATCTTCTAAACACATTTTGCGAGCAGAAAAACATTCGGCAGAATTGTGGGATTTCTAACAAAAAATACAACCTAAATTCCGCCTACCTGTATTGCCTTGGAAATTTACGAAGGCAGCAGCTGTAGAGCAATAGGGAACATCAGAATGTGGACGTGAATGAGCAGAAAGGGAAGCTCCCGACCCGGTTACGTGCGAGCTTAATCCTTTCCTCCCTTTGCACTTGGTTTCGAAGAAAGCACAAACGTTTATCCAAAGAGCGCGCACTATCTTGCTGGGACGAAGTATCATCCATTGAACAGTTTCTGGTAAGCAGGACTCAACAAGTGGCTCCAAAAATTCAGCAAATTCTTCCTTAGTTCTACCTTTGAGCTTTCGAGGGCCATGAGCTTGCTCTCAAGTAAATCATAAAGTTCAGCTAAATCTCATTTAATCCGACCAGCAGCATTTTTCGTTACCATGGAAAATGGATCCCGTACATAAATCTGAACCAAAAGTTAATCTCTCTCTAAGCCATCTTTAAGTTGTGCAATTATCTTTGAATAGTTTTCATTAGTTGGCGGAAAACTTGTCACCAATCTTGCCGTTTTAAGATCTACTACCACACATTGTAACAGATATTGAGATTGGTCTTAATCCACAATAGCATCATCTTTGTGAAATTGTTTCAAACTTGGATTAAAAGGCAAGAATGTCTTTCGGTTCTCCACTAAATTTCCTCAATTCTAGTTTCGGAAGTTTGAATTTCCCTTTTTGCTCGCTTTTTGTTCCTTCCGTAGCCGAATATGCCTTCTTTGCATTTTTCAACAGCGAACCAAATTAAACAGAATTTGTCTCGGTATTCTTCCACTTTCGAAAGTTCTTCGGAATATTCATCTTGGAGCGTATTATCATTTAGCAACGAATTCAAAATTTATTCTTGAGTTGTTTCTAAACGTGCGAATTTTTTCCTGAATTTGTTTAAACAACGTACTGACTTCGTCACTTTTAAAACTTTCGTTTTCAATCTTCTGAGCTATATCTGGGCGACTAATATCTGTAACCTAAATGCGATTTTATTCTAAATCTGCACCCTAAATACGACTGAGCTATTTCTGTACCCTAAATGCGACTTTCGTTTTGCTTTCAAAATTTTGGTATCCGTACTTAACGAAAAATAATGTCGCGGACTCTATGGTCTCGAAATTTAATATGTTGCAACCCACTGAGTTTCAAGTGTACGTTACAGATGAAATAATCAGAGCACGGATCATTCAATGTCAAGATTGTTTTGGATATTTCACACAAGCGGAAACGTTATATTACTCTAACTTATACATAGGCATACTGGTTAAAAAAGGGATTTCCCCTTTTTGCTCGCAGATAAAGAAAAAATGGATAATAATAAAAACTAATCCAGTCAGTTCTTTCCTGGGTTTTCTCTACACCAAGATTCTACCGTCAGAACCAAATATATTAAATTTACTCTCATCAGCAAATATAACTTCATTCCAGTAATCAGAGTTCTTATTTATGTTGGATTTTGCGAAAGCCAGTCTGAGTTTTCTATTCTTTTCACTTACGAAGAATTTTTTCCTCGCTGCTCTACCGTGATATCCAGCAGATCGAATTACTCTTCTAATAGTCTAAGGATTACCAATTACTCCATATAATGCTTGTAAATCAGGCAGCAACTTTAGGAGCACTCATTCTTGGATTTTTTTAAATATTTTGAACAATAATTCGCATTATTCCATTGGATAGCTTTGATGGTCGGCCAGGTCTTCTTTTATCCTGAATGATATGATTCTTTTTATATCGTTTAATGATATTGAAAACTGTTGAATGACTCATGTTAACTGTTTCAGTAGTTTCTCTAATAGATTTTCCACGTTCAATATGCAAATTAATAACTAATTTTCGAATTTCAGGCGAAGTTTCTTTTCGTTTAGCATTCATGGCTGCACAGAGCTAAAAACGCAAAAATTCCATAACAAACTGGAGAGAAAGACTGCAGACTATTTCATAAATTATTGCCAATTGCTTTTGAGTAAAAATAAAAACACCAAAAAATATTTTTATTGTAGTACGTAGTAGTATCTAATGGTGCCCCATCACTTATGTGGGCCATTTTGTGCTCCGTTCCAAACAATTGTATTTTTATTAAATTACTATTTTAATATTTTGAGAAAATGTATGTTATGTAATAATTCTTACTAAATTTAAGTATGAAACACACCCACAAAAAATTTTTACATGTTTTTTTTTAATTTATTTTATTACAGTTTCTTTTTGTAAAGCACAAGTGTCCCATCACTTTTGTGAGACACTGTATGTCGCTAATATGGCGCAATTTCCCCAGTGTGGGCAACGGATTCAGTGACGAATTTTCTGTCGCCAAAATTTGGGGGGAAAATGCCAAAAGTCGCTAAACTTGGAGAACTTTTATCTCCGTTTTGGTCCGTTTCCTGTATAACTGCAATTGATATTGTAATTTAATAGCTGTAAATTATTCCTATATTAGCTGTAACCGTAACCGGTACTTTCGTGAAGCAGAAGAACTGCTGATTTTTCGGCGGCCGGAAGAAAACTGCATAAGACCTGAGAAAGCATCAATTTCTCAATTGTCAGTTCAGAGCGACTTCGGAGTATCGTGATATCTGTGAGATCTTTACCATTTAGATGCGCTTTACACTGCATTGAGTCGAATTATCTTAGTAGTTTGACGTCTAACTTCTGACTCTACTGTGGGATACTGTGATCATTTATATGAATGCTTCTTTAGAAAATTCTACAGTTCTGAAACATTTCTTTAAAAAAAAAATTTTTTTGTATTAACCTATTATCGGACCTGTGTGCGTTCAATGTATTACGAACCCTACGCACGTAACAATATGGTTACTTGAGTAGTATTAAAAATAAAGAAAACGCACAGTAACAAAACACAATTGAATGAAAATGAAAAAAGTACTAGAATATAGTGCATGTTGAAAATATATACAAATGTGTAAACATTAGCTATTAATATACAGCATTATGGGGAATTGTCCTAGGACGTTCAAATAGGATGCTCAGTGGTAGAATCGTTCTCCGATGCATTGGTTACATGGACATAAAACTGAGTTTGGAATTCTTTCAAAGGAATTATATGAACTTACGAGGATGTAATCATGAGCTGAGAAAATGTCGACAGCATTATGAAAAATCTGTTTGAGCGGAAAACAGGATTCATTCATAAGATTTCTAATTAGTTTATTTTGAAAACCTAGTTTCTAGTGAGTTCTTCCGATAAGATTTGGGTGCCTAAGCAAAAGCTGGTATAGCATAAAAGAGAGCTGGGCGAATGATTGAAAGGTTGAGAATCCTTTTAACTTTGAGGTTAAGCTTTGAACTTCTTCCCAAGAGGCTCTATTATGCCATAAAAGCGTCATTAGCCTTGCTTAAGGCATAATTAACATATATCTGAAAGTTAGCTGGTTATCTAAGATTACACCCAGGTATTTTGTAGAATTTACAACTGGGAACATTTGGTTGCCAATTCGCATGTTTAGGTTAATTGTGTGATTTATCTTGTACCTCCTAAATATAATTATACTGCATTTAATTGTATTCAATTTAAATTTCCATAAGTGACACTAGAGAGAGATTATATTTAGGCTAATATGTTAATTTTCTATTGCATGATTGGTATTAACTTATTTAGTCATAACTGTGTCGTCGTCATACATTGCAAACTGTGTCGTCGGCATACATTGCAATCTTGCTGCTGATAGTTTCCGGCAAATAATCGATGTGGGTGTTAACAAGAATAGGCTCCTCCTTCTACTTAATAGTGCGTCTCCAACATAAGCTTGGAATTTTCGAGAATGCAAATTTGATTCAAGAAATGTAATCAT